AGCCCCAGTGTGCTGGCATCTTGAGAAAGGAGTCATTGTTGGAGTCCACACTGCCTAGGAGACAGAAGCTCTCGCATATCTTCTTCCCAGGGGCCCCACAGACTTTTCTGCACTTGGTAAGGAAGACTGAGCCTCACAGATTCAATTGGGACCAACAAGGCAAGAACAGTTGCAACACCCTATCCCACAGAGCATGTCAGGGGACAGTGGGTGCATAGCAGCGGGGAGATCTAGCCCCTGAGATCCTAGAAGCAGGGAGCCTGTCCCCACACCTCTTGGCGACTTTTCTTTTCCCGTCTGCTTCCCCTCCCCACCTGCCTGCAGTGCATCACTCTTGCAACTGCAACCTGTACCCACTGGGACTCCATGCCAATGTCAAGGTCCTTGTGGTCCCACCCAATCTGTCTACATGGCCCCTGTCCCTCTTCCTACAGTGCCTGGTCTAGTACAGTGCACACTAGCTTGGGGCTCTGGCCTGGGGTTTCTGGGTCCTGCCACACCCAGTGCAGGGCTCCTAGCTCAAGCCCCTCCCACACGCGCATGGCTCAGCCTGCTTGATTGCGCTCTGTGCTGGGATTCCTGTGCCCCAGGCAACCCACAAGCAGCCTACAGGAGAGTGGCCTGGGAGTGTGTGCTCTGCCCTCCTAGAGCCGAGGCCACTTTCCCTCTGCCAGCACTCGGGGGCCCACCTGCCCTGCCCAGCACCAGCAGTGCTCTTGGAGCTCTGCAGACCGAGTGCAGGTGGTTTCTGGTACCAGCCATACCTGCCCTCAGTACCAGTGCTGCTCTTGCAGCTCCAGCTCCTGACTTGGTGGTGGAGGGCAGTCTGCGGGCCAGGCTCCTTGCAGCATCAGCAGAAACTGCTCCCAGTTCTCTCATTCAGGGATTCTAACAACTATAGTGGGTTCTAGAAGCACCCCACAATGCCACTACTGCTGCCATCAATGACAGCAAAAAAAAAGTAAAGGGAGACTAAACTAGAGCATACAATTGGAATGACAGCCAAAGTAGCCAGCAAAGTGGCACCCAGGAGCGTTACCTTCAAGATAAAGTCTTTGGCCGGCGCTGTGGCTCAATAGGCTAATCCTCCGCCTTGTGACGCTGGCACACCGGGTGCTAGTCCCTTTCGGGGCGCTGGATTCTGTCCCGGTTGCCCCTCTTCCAGGCCAGCTCTCTGCTATGGCCCGTGAGTGCAGTGGAGGATGGCCCAAGTACTTAGGCCCTGCACCCCATGGGAGACCAGGAAAAGCACCTGGCTCCTGGCTTCGGATCAGCGCGATGCACTGGCCGCAGCGCACCAGCAGCGGCAGCCATTGGAGTGTGAACCAATGGCAAAGGAAAACCTTTCTCTCTGTCTCTCTCTCTCTCACTGTCCACTCTGCTGTCAAAAATTAAAAAAAAAAAAAAAAGATAAAGCCTTCAATCCACAAAAACCATCTCCTAAAAGTGACAGAAACAACTGATGTCCAAAATGTGCAAAAATCAGCATAGGAACATGAGAAGTATGCCAAAGCAAGTCAATATTGATATGGGATAGACAGGGAGCTGGTTAGTAAACAAAGGAGCCCAGAGGCTCCCAGCCAGCTCCTTGTGGTAGCCCTGCACTGCTAAAACTCCAACCCCACCCTTGTAGATTCAGTACGTCCATTTTCCCAGGGTGCATCTGAGCCTCCTTGGTTATGCGGAAGATGCCATGATGAACACATGAATGTCAAGCTCCATGTGGAGATCCTGTGAAACCTTCCCAGAGATCACCGTGCTCACTGAATCTCACCCAAACTCCACCCCATTTGTATATCAATTAGGTTACCACCCCTAATGGAATAAAGGGGACAACCAAACTGGGGAGCGTGTGATTCTCTCTCATAAGGCTGCACACATTCACTTCCGAATGTGTGCTTTCTCTTTTTGGCTCTTTAAACAAATCCTGCTCCTGTTCTTGCACTCTGTCTCTATTTTGAATTCTTCTCTGATGCTGAGACAAGAACTTGGAATAAATCCATCAGGGAACCCCCCACACCCCTGTATCCCCAAAACAATATGATACCCCCAAAGGAACACAATAATGCTTCAGTATCAGACTAAAAAGAAAGGGAGACTGATGAAATGTCTGAAAAAGGATTAAAAAAATGATTATAAGGTTACTCAAAGAGATACAGGAGAATACAGACACACAGTTAGAAAATCAGTGTATCATGTGAATGAGAAATTCAACACAGAGATAAAGATATTGAAAAAGAATCCAACAAAAATATTATAAATGAAGAATCCAAGAAGTCAAATAAAAAATGCAACACAAGCCTTAACAATACATTAAGTCAAGCAGAAATAAAGAACTTATCTGGGCTGGCGCTGTGGCTCACTAGGCTAATCCTCCGCCTTGCGGTGCCGGCACACCGGGTTCTAGTCCCAGTCGGGGCGCCAGATTCTGTCCCAGTTGCCCCTCTTCTAGGCCAGCTCTCTGCTGTGGCCAGGGAGTGCAGTGGAGGATGGCCCAAGTGCTTGGGCCCTGCACCAGCATGGAGACCAGGAGAAGCACCTGGCTCCTGCCATCGGATCAGCGCAGTGTGCCGGCCGCAGCGCGCCGGCCACGGCGGCCATTGGAGGGTGAACCAACGGCCAAAGGAAGACCTTTCTTTCTGTCTCTCTCTCTCACTGTCCACTCTGCCTGTCAAAAAAAAAAAAAAAAAAAAACCAAAAAAAAAAAAAAACCACAACAACAAAAAAACAAAACATATCTGATCCTGAAAAGGGTATTTTTGAAATATCTTGTCCCTACAGAAGAAAAAAGCTGAAAACATTTAAAAAAAAACAGCATTTTTAATCTCTGAGATAACATCAAACAAACCAACATTTGCACTTGGAGAGTTCCCAAAAGAATGGAAAAGAAGAATGGTTTAGAAAACCTATTAAATGTCATAATAGCTGAAAAAGTCTTTGATTTGGAAGAAGATATGTCCAAATACAAGAAGCTGATAAGACCCCAAAAAGACTCAGTCAGAAAAGAACCCCACTTTGACGTTATAGTCAAACTTTCAGAAATACAACACGAAGAGAGAATTCTAAAATTTGCAAGAAATAAGTGCCAGATCATGTCTAAAGGAACTCCTATGAGATTGATAGCTGATTTTCAACAAGAAAAAAAGAGCTGGTAGGAATATGGAATGATAGAGCTCCTAGACACTGCTGACAGGATTGTAAATTAGTAAAATTGGTTTGGGAAACAGTTTAGCACTAAAAACACCAGTTGAATGTATGCATACTCCATGTCCCAGAAATTGTCCTCCTTGATGTACCTCCAAAATATATATATGTGTACGTGTGCACCAAAAAACACATACAAGTATGTTTATGGCAGTATTCATAATGTTCCCATTTAGAATCAATCCAAGTTTCATTAACACTCAAATGTAGCTAAATAAATCATGATATAATTCAATCAACACAATATGATAAAATAAAAATAAATGACAGCTATTTGTAATAATACTAGTAGGTAGCACAATCATAATGTTAAGTGAAAGAAAGAGGCACAATACATATAAATTGTTTAAGACCATAAAGTTAAGTAAAACACGTAAAATTAACCTACAGTATTATGCTTCCATGGTGAAACGGTCAGGCATAGAGTTAGATATGACTGACTCAGGTGGGCACAAGACTCTTCTCCAGGGCTGGACCCAAGGACACTGCTCTCTGCCCAGGGCCACCCAAGACTGCCCACTGTGTGGTTTAACTTGTGGTTAAAGTATCCTGATGAAACAGGAGCTCAGCCAAGCCAGAAAAGTCTGATTTGTAGCCACATGTGCAGAGAGCCCAAAGCTATGAAACTCCCAGATGCTGATCACAAATGCCAATCATGAGCATCATGGCTACATCAATAATCAGAACCCTTAAGCTTTAGGGATAAAACCCCAAAGCCAGAAGAAAGGGTGCCAAATTTTCTCTCTTGGAAACTTTAATAAACTCTGTTTTACTATCCATAGTTTTGTCTCACTGAGCTGTAATTCATTATCTGTTGGTGAAAAAGACTCAAGGCAAGCTGGTGGCCACCAGTGAGAAAACCATTACAGAAAAGTATGGTGGTGAATACTGTAAAATTCAGGGCAATGGCTACCTCTGCAGGGGGGCCTCGTGTTAGGAAGAGGCATGCGAGGGCTTCTAGGGTGCTAGCAACACTCCATATTTGACCCGAGTGACAGTTATATGGGGGTTCATTTTGTGACAATTCAGTGAATTTCACATTTTACAATAAAAAGTTAGGAGCAAATAGAAAAAAGGTTACTCTGGTGCTTATAAATATTCAGCAGCCCTCTGAATAACCCTTCTCGTTGGTGGTCTGCACTGCCCTGACTACATTTTCAACCCTCATCCTGTGCCATTCCTCCATTCACATGTTCTAGCCACACTAAATTTCTAATTCCTCTACCTTCCAATCCTTCATCAAACCCTTTGGCTCTGCCTTCATAGGATATCCCAAATATGCCTGCTTCTTCACTGCTGTCACTCTTGTCTAAGCCCAAAATTGTATCTCTTCTCTCACTGAGAGAGGAAAACAACATAACTGGGGGAGAAGAGGTCAAGAAACTGACTGGGGGCGGGGGGGGGAGTGATGGGAGGGCTGTCTTTGTAGATATTAAAGTCACCAAGAATTAGGTCGGAGTGAATATGTGGGCAGAATGGTGGGGGGAGCCCAGGAAACAGATGAGTCGAACCAAGGAAGTAATGGGTGGCATTGGTTGGGATGACACAACACTCGAATCCAAGGGCCTAACAGAATCAGTGTGGTCTGGAAGCAGCAGTAACAGCAAGGGGGAAGCCTTCCCCACGCCAAGCCCCGTGGAACAACCCCACTGTCAGTGTACAATTCCGCAAACTCAGAACAAATAAAATTCTACAAATTAGAACCAAGACAGCCAGATGAAAAGCAGGAAGAAAAGGATGGATAGATGGATGGAAGGAAGGAAGGAAGAAAGGCAACTGAGCAAGTAGGCAGTTACCTTTCCTTTGTAATGTTCTGCAATCAAATCGGCAAGCGTTGTTTTCCCAGCGCGCTGAGGTCCACATACGACTACTTTGCACGGTGGTGCCGGCATGGGAGGAAGAAGATAGCGTCGTGGATTCAATGAAAATGCTTTTAAGGCTTCTTCTGATGAAAGGCAGTACAATTTACCTAAAAAACTTTTCAAAATGCCAAAATAATAAACAACTGAAAAGATGGAAGGGTACATTTTAAAATTAAGTTCCAAAATCTGACTTACCTCACAGAAAAATCTGGTAATCCTGGATATATGTTTCCGTCTTTTAAAGCAACAGGACAGGCCCGGCCCCATCTGCTCCTCTGCCACCTGTATCTTGGTGCGATCATTTTATAGGACGCGAGGACTCGGAGCAGCTCCTCCTGTGGGTCACAAACCCTGCCTTAACATGTGGGCGTGTGTTCTGGTTCCAAGGCTGTGGCCACCTCCTAGCTCTGGGGCGGTCTCACACCATCTAGAGCTCACAATGGCATTGCCCCCAATTCTCAGCCTGGACACCTCGAGCAGTTTCTCCCAAGGGACCTTTCTGAAGTGGCTTTCTGGATCCAGGGCCATGGGGCAGCTTGGAAGAGAAGCTGGGAAGAGGGATGGGGACTCCACAGCATCCCTGTGGCTTCTGAGTGTAGCTGCCCTGGGTATCCCAGCTCCAGCAGCTCCGGCGGTTCCTCCCCTGCCCTGACTTCACCCCCGCCCACTCTGGGCTGAAACAGCAGCAGCGGATCCCAGCTGTGCAGGGCCTTGCGGGTCGGAGCACCAATTTATTATTTTTTTTCTTAATTGCAGCTTTCTTCTTGTGGCCTAGATTTGGTAAGACTATTTTCATTATATTAGAAAATCTTGTTTAAATTTTACTAAGCATTTTCTATCAGATGGTAGAATGAGCACAAGACAGCTACAGCCTTTCCTATCATCTTCAGAAAATACATCTGGGAAAAGTCTTCCTGAAAAAGTCTAAAAATGTACCAGACTCTTAGCCATTTAACCTAAGTATTTAAATAGTATGATGTTATAAACAGAGTGTTTTTGCATTTACTTAAGTATGACTCTTCCATTCTTAAAATTGAAAGTCCTCTTCAACAATCCTTCCTGCTGGTGACCTCCAAAGAAGTTAAATATGAAGGTACTTCAGAAAGATTTTGAGAAATGGAATTAAAAGATACTTATTTTGGTTTATTTTTCTTTTCTTTTTTTTTAAGATTTATTTATTTATTTGAAAGGCAGAGTTACAGAGAGGCAAAGGCAGAGACAGAGAGAGGTCTTCTAGCTGCTGGTTTACTCCCCAGATGGCTGCAATAACCAGAGCTGGGCTGATCTGAAACCCAGAGCCAGGAGCTTCTTCTGAATCTCCCCTACACACGTAGGGGCCCAAGGACTTTGGCCATGTTCTGCTACTTTCCCAGGCCATAGCAGAGAGCTAGATTGGAAGTGGAGCAGCCAGGATTCAAACCGGAGTCCATATGGGATGCCGGCAATGCAGGTGGTGGCTTTACCTGCTAAGCCACAGTGCCAGCCCCAGTTTATTTTTCAAACACGTTGAAATCCATGTGTAGTTTTTTTCTCCCATAATTCAGGTTTTTTGTGAACTTTGGAAAGACTCCTTGTATTTCTCTATAGACTGCATAGACTGCTGAAAAGTTCACCTGTTCTTCTGCTACCTTATCTGGGGACGACAGAACTGGAGAGTGACGGCATGGTGGGCAATGCCAGGGTCAAGGGGTCCGGGCTGATGTGATATGCATGTGCTGGCTTCAGAGTTGACAGTTAAGCACAGGAGAGATTGCAAGCTATGGTCCTGCCTGGACCACTGCAGTAGCCTCAGAGAGCAAAGGAAACCACACAGAGAGGGAGAGAGGGATGCTGCCTGGAAATCCGCCCCCGCCCCGCCAAATGCTAAAAGTGACAGTTGAGCATTAAGGCAGCCTTCACTTCTTAGGGGAGCTGTGTAAGACCGAGGGCCTTGGCGGCATGACACATTGCACTGCCACCCTTCTCCCTGGAGCCCGTAGACAGCGAGCTAGGGACTGAAGCCAGGTGAGCAAGGAGGCAGCCACTCTTTCCTTACCATCCCTACTTCCCGTCCAAACACGGGCAAGTGTGTGAGTAGCAGACAAGTGTCCCTCTCAACCTCACGACCCTCCAGCCACACTTCTGGCAAGTGTTGAGGGTGGAGAAGATGACTTTCTGGATGGGTTTGATACGACAGTCTCGTAAGTGATCAGGACTGCCTCCTGGTTAAGCAGGCAGCTTCAACACATGCATTTATGTTTGCTGCTTCCGCAGTCCTTGCTGAAATGCTAGAAGAGGATTCCGAAAAGAAATGAACTCATGAGGGCACAGAGGATGGAAGAAGAGACCAGAGATGCTGGTCAGCACTGACAGCTGACCTGCTATGGCCACACAATTTTGTAAGGTAGAAAGCAGATGGATGAGTGGAAACTGGCATCAGAGAAAGAGGAGAGCTAAGTATCTATGCTGGCAAGGACAGGGGTGGAAATGGGTAGGATGCCAAGAAGCCACGTGGTTTACTCTGCAAAATCCTAGAAAGACACAGGACCTGGTGATACTGGAGGCCTCTGAAGCGGGCTGAACGGAGAGCAGATTGGTTGAAAATCTTTGAAAGGAGGTTCAGTGGCCCGAGTCACTCCCCACTGCACATGGTCAGCCAACTCCCCTTCCCCTCCAGCCTGCCTCTACCTTGCAGTCAATCAGAAACATGGAATCATACTTTTCTGGAGAGACTGAGCCAGAGGGTCACGGGAGAGGGACCCCAGACGTGGCTGGGGAGGCACAAGGACACTGGTAGCTGCAGCCGCGTCCCTGGAGCTCTGCTCCCAGCTGAGCCTCTCCTGGAGGAATCTGTGGACCTTCCCTTAGGCAGCATGGACACAGCTACTCCCTGGCACACAGGGGTTCTCAGCTCTACCTCCAGATCTGCTGTGATTGGGTGAATGCTTTTGTATGGAATAAGTTAGTTTACCAGATTCAAGACAAAATGGTACAGGGCTCTTCTCAAATTATTAAGAATTTCCAGATTGTAACAACAGAGCATTAAACTAAGCATGGAGCCCATCCAACTGCATGCTCCTGCATGAAACCCATGAGGCCAGCGTTGCTCCTGCTACCCAGCTGCTGGATAGTCTGAATATCACCATTGGCTCTAGGCACTTTAAAATATCATCTCATGCAGTTCTTATGGAAACACTATGCTCTAGGAGCAAGAGTCCCCTTTTTAAATAGCCATTGATGGGGTTCGGTGCTGTGGTGTAGTGGGTTAAAGCCCTGGCCTGAAGTGCCAGCATCCCATATGGGCACTGGTTCTAGTCCCAGCTGCTCCTTTTCTGATCCAGCTCTCTGCTATAGCCTGGGATAGCAGTAGAAGATGGCCCAAGTCCTTGGGCCCTTGCACCCACATGGGATACCTGGAAGAAGCTCCTGGCTCCTGGCTTTGGATTGGCACAGCTCCAGCCATTGTGGCCATCTGGGGAGTGAACCAGCGGATGGAAGATTTCTCTCTCTCTCTGTCTCTACCTCTCTGTGTAACTCTTTCAAATAAATTAAAAAAATAAAATCTTTTTTTAAAAAAGCCATTGAATTGCAGCTGGTGCTATGGCATGGCAGGTTATGCAGCTGCCTGCAGTGCCAGCATCCCATACGGGTACTGGTTCGAGTCCCAGCTGCTCTGTTTCCAATTCAGCTCCCTGATATTGCACCTGGGAAAGCAGTGGAGGACAGTCTAAGTCCTTGGACCCTTGCATGCACGTGGGAGACCTGGAAGAAGCTCTTGGCTCCTGGTTTCAGCTTGGCCCAGCCTCAGCCATTATGGCTATTTGAGGAGTGAACCAGCAGATGGAAGATCTCTCTCTCTCTCTGTCTCTCTCTCTCTCTAACTCTGCCTTTCAAATAAATAAAATAAATATTTTTTTAAAGAAAAACAACATTAAGTAAAAAGGCAAATCTAAGGAAAGTCGCAGATCTGTGGAGCTGGCATTCAAACCCAGGTCCATCTGATTTGAAAACCAAATCTATGACCTGCTCAGCCTGGTACAGTCCTTCTGCCTCCTCCCAACCCCACCCTTGCCACACACACACATCCCCTCTTCCCTAACCACTCCTCAGGTATCACAGTCCTCATGCTTCTCACCACGGGGCTGGCATTCACAGGAAGGGCTTTGTGCCTCTTCTACCCCCTTACAGGAAAGTCTCTTAGGAAGGCTTTTGGTTTTTATCATTGTGACTATATATATATAAAATATAAAATTTACTACTATCACCATCTTTAAGTATATAATTCTGTAGCATTAAGTACATTCACAGTGTTGTGCAACAATCACCATTATCCATCTCTGGAACTTTTCCATCACTCCAAATAGAAGCTCTGTACCCCTAAACAATACTTCCCTATTGTCTCCTCCTCATCCGGTAACCCCTAGCCTACTTTCTTTCCCTATGAATTCACCTACTCTAGGTACCTCGCATATGGAGAATCACATAATACTTGTCCTTTTGTGTCTGGCTTGTTTCATTTAGCATAATGTTCTCATGGCTCCTCTTCATTTTAACATGTGTCAGCATTTCATTTCCTTTTTAAGGCTGAATAATATTCCACCATACATGGGATATATTTTATTTCTCCTTTCACCCATTGACTGACATGGGATGGTTCCACCTTCTGGCTATTGTAAATAACACTGCTATGAACACTGTTGTAACAAGCATCACTTTGAGTTCTTGCTTTTGGTTCTTTGGGGGAATACCTAGAAGCTGAATTGGCAGATAACATGATAATTCTGTGTTCAATTTTTTGAGGATCCATCATGTTTTCTTAAACAGTAGCTGTACCATTTTACATCCCCACTGGCAACACAAGAGGGTTCCAATTTCTCCTCAACCCTAACAACATTAGTTAGTTTCCCTTTTTTGGGGGAGTACCAGTCACTGTAATGGGCATGGAGTGGTGTCTCATTATGGTTTTGATCCACATTTCCCCAGTGACTAGTGACGTTGAGCATCTTTCCGTGTGCTTATCGGCCACTTATACATCTTTCTGGAAAAATGTTTATTCCAGTTATTTGCCAATTTTTCTTTTTAAAATAATGATTTATTTATTTATTTGAAAGTTAGAGAAAGAGAAAGATATCCGAGGGAGTTACCTTCTATCTATTGGTTCACTTTCCCAATGGCTGCAATGGCCAGGGCTGGTCCAGGATGAAGCCTGGAGCTCAGAATTCCATCCATATCTCTTACATAGATGGCAGGGGTCCAAAGTACTTGGACCATCTGCTGCCTTCCCAGGGTGCATTAGCAGGGAGCTGGACTGGAAGTGGAGCAGCCGGGACTCAAATCAGTGCTCTGATATGGGTTGTTGGCATTGCAGGCTGCAGCTTAGCTCACTGTGCCACAATGAAGTCCTTTTTTGCCCATTTTTCAATGAGTGGTTTTACTGTTGTGGGATTGCAGGAGTTCTTTATATATTCTGGATATTAATACCTTCTCTAATATATGATTTGCAAGTATTCTCCTTCCTTTGGTGGGTTGCTTTTCCTCTGTTGTTAGTGTCCTTTGAAGGACAGAAGTTTTTCATTTTGATGAAGTCATGTGTACCTGTTTTTTTCTTTTCCTGTGCCTTTGATATCATATCCTGCTTTGTTTTTTTTTAACAAATGCTAGAGCCTTACCTCAGACGTTCTATTTTAACTATTCTGGATACTGGTATATTTGTAAAGCTTCCAGGATTACCTCATCATGCAGTCCGGACTGGGAATCACTATTTAAAAATTCCCATTATGTTGTTCCTCTAAAAATCATCTGGGTTTAGTTGACAGGCATCTATCTAAAGTCCTTCAAGGGGCCAGCACTGTGGCATAGCGGGTAAAGCTGCCACATGCAGCTCCGGTATCCCATAGGGGAACCAGTTAGAGACCCAGCTGCTCCACTTCTGATCCAGCACTCTGCTATGGCCTGGGAAAGCAGTGGAAGTTGGC